CTGTTCTCTGGTTTTACTATTCTGGACAAGTTGAAATGGCCTGTCATGATCTATATTGTTTTGCCCCTTTAGAATCTTAAGGACAGCAATCATGTTGTCTCTCAGTCTTCTCTTTTCGAGCGTGAACATGCCCAATTTACTTAGTCGCTCTTCATAGTCCAGTCCCTCCATTCCCTCAATCATTTTGGTTGCGCAACTCTGTATCGTCTCGATTTCTCCAATATCCTTTTTGTACTGTGGCAACCAGAACTGTACACAGTACTCTAAGTATGGTCTCACCAATGATTTATACAGTGGCAGGATTACCCCACTACTTCAGCTTGCTATTGACCTTTTGATACATCCCAACATCTGGTTTGCTTTACTCACTGCCACAGAGCATTGTTGGGAGAGCTTCAATTTACTGTTAATCAGAACCCCCAGATCCTTTTCATTTTCCATACATATTATTTTCCTTCTGTTCAAATAATAGACCCTTCCAGGATTTTTTGTTGCCATGTGAAGTAATTTACATTTCTCCACATTAAATTTAATTTGCCACCGATCTGCCCAATTCCCAAGTATGTTCAAATCCTCCTGTAACCTATCTTATTCAGCTTCACAATCTATCACCTTCATTAGTTTGGTGTCATCTGCAAACTTAGCCACTGTGCTTGCGACACCTAGTTCCAGATCATTTATAAAAATATTAAACAAGAGGTCCTAAAACAGACCCTTGTGGAATTCCACTGGTAACATTTTCCTAGTCTGATGACATTCCCTGTACCACCGCCCTCTGAGTTCTTCTGGTCAACGTATCCATTGTAATATACTTCCACTGATTCCTACTCTCTTTACTTTCAGTACCAGCCTTTCAAGAGGAACTGTCTCAAAGACCTTACTGAAATAATAATCCTTGCATTTGAGATATAGCACTTTTCACGTCTTCTAGACATCTCAAAGCGCTTCACAGAACACACTGTAAAGTGAATTGACCGTACATTTGTGGGCGAAACGCGGCAGCCAATTGCGCACAGCAGTGTCCCACAAACAGTCGTGGATTGAAAATGACCAATTTATTATTGTTTTTGTTTTTTGGAGGGATTATTATTAGGCGTGTGGAATAAGAAAACTTGCCCTAGGTTTCACCCTGCTGGAATTGAACCCAGGTGTCTCGCTTGCAAGGCGAGTGCTCGAACCACTGAGCTACAGGACTTCAAGTAGAATTAGAGAGTTAGAGTGATAAGTAGAGTTAGAGAGTGATACCAGTCCATTTCGGTGTTTATACTCCATACAAGCCCCACTTAACATCCACACCCTTTACCCTTATCAAGCGCCTTTGTCACATCGTCAAAGAAAACCAGTAAATTAGACTGACAACATTCTGGACACTCATTCAGTGAGCTTCAGGGAGATGGCACAAACTGAAACACAGAGTTCCCCAAGTTCCTTATCTCAGCTATTCTTCATGATATCAGGTGGAAGCATTTCACAAGGGGCTTCTGTCTCCACCAAGCAGGACTTTGGTAGCTCGTCAAATCCCAAAGAGTTTGTTGTCTAAATCCCTTTCATGAAGCATGATACAAAATAAGTTTTATGAGAACCATTCTGAGAATAAACATTAAAGACTGTCATGTACTCTTGATAGCTTAAATCTCGCTCAACAGTCAACAAACACCAGGGAACAATTCTCTTCCACTGGCTATTGCAGGCTTCAGTGAATAATTTCCCTAAAGCCAACAGTATTTCCACAACAGATGGTGAATATATCCTTGACTGGTAGCCTTTCCCATTCAACAGGAACGCATTAAAAATCCTGGATCCAGATGTTGAACCTGGCCTCTGTTTGCAGTGATTTGATTGGCAATGCTTAATATTTTCAAGGCCACAAAATTCAATACTTTCTATACCTTTATCTTTAACAATATACTGGCAATTTGGAGGAAATTGAGAAAAAGGACAAAGAGAAAAGGATTCTCCTATGCTCCAAAGAAAAGAGAATAGCTTTGTCAAGAAACAGCTAGGTTGCCTGGTGTTCCTCTTTGCAAAAACTATTGCTAGATAATCCCAAGTCTTAAATAGTCATTAGGACTCTTCTAAGGAAAATTCAGGGCTCAAAAAGCACTTGGAAAATAAAAAAAAACACTTCAGTGTTGCCTCAGAGCATGAAGTGCATCTCCTCCAAGAAACCCTGGGCGTCTCGTCAAGGAAATTCATGAAATTCATATGGACTCATATGGGAAACTCAAAGAGGATAGTGACTAGTTGTGCTATGGGAATGAACTGGGAAATAGGATTCATTAAAAATCAGATAAACAGGTAGCAGTTGCACACTCACAATGGGGCTCATGTGGGGCTGAACGTTTTTATTTGAAGGCATTACCTCAACATTAAAGAAAGCAGAAATGCCAAATAAGTCAAGAAGAAATGATTACCTGATGAAAACAAAACAACAAATTACATTTGTATAGTGCCTTTCAGGTTGGGAAGACGTCCCAAGGCGCTGGACAGACAAGAGATTTGGACCCGAGCAGGGTTGCGATCAGGAGGGATTGAGGTCAGGGTGGGTAGGGGTAGCCAGTGGAGCCAGGCGAGGAATGCGGTGATAGGGTCATGGAGTCTATTGCGGGAGAGGACATGAGCTGCAGAGTTCTGGATGATCTGCAGCTTGTGGAGGAAAGAGTTGGGAAGGCCGACAAGCAAGGAGTTAGCGTGGTTGAGTCTGAATGTGATAAATGTGACAATTCTGAGTTTTTAAAGCTTGTGGAATTTCATATTATTATTGTGGATTGTAGCAATAAGGTGGGTAGTTTGGGGGAAGTAAATGAGATACAGTGCAACATTTGAAGATTGGGAGGAAGAAGAGAGGAATGTTAAGAGGAAAAATGTCTAGAGAAATGATAAAATAAAAACGACAGATAGATGATAGGATCTCTCATAAATGATGTGTAATCCATGAGTAAAACAGCTGTATCATGCACCGTGTCTTTCCTCTCCAAGGTGCTGCAATGAGTCACTGCTTCCCAGCTCTGCTTTTGCCTTTCCCAGCATTCCCCGCACCCCGGAACCTCTACAAACCAACTATCGCGATAAACTCGAGACTGTACCAAGACTGCCCGGGTCAATATCACCAATGACATTCTCTCCATCTGTGACCAGGGCTCTCTCCTTGTTCTCCTTGATATCTCTAATGCCTTTTACACTGTCAACCACTCCCCTTATCTACAACCTCTCTTCATCCTGGAGTCCCTCTGATCCTCTCCCTCCCCTCATTCAAGGCAAGTGGTGAATGCAAATATTTACGCTTTTAGGTATTTTCTCCCTCTTTGCCCCCCTCAGATCCCACTCCCGACTCAGATGCCCATCCAGCATGGTAAAGCGATGTCTTCCCGACGTGAACAGCACTATATAAATGCATATTGTATGTGTAAATGGAAGTGCAAAGATGGAATTATAAATGGTTTTAACAATGTGAACAGGAACTGGTAAAAAGGATTTATAAATCAAGAAATTAAAATATTTTCATAGCCATAATACTGCATCAGAGGCATATTTTCAACCGCATAATAATCAACACCTGCCATTCCCTCTGTACGCATGCAAAAAAAGTCAGTCATTTCACTTTATAGTATATCCTGTGAAGCATGTTGGGATGGCCTCCCAATGTGAAAGGCGCTATGCTAAATTAAGGATTATTTAATTATTCACACTTGAACATAATACAATTGTGTTTACACATGCTACGTTTTAGTTAACAAATGGAGCATATCAGATGACCAATATTTTATTGTATCCTATTCAAAAGTGTGCTAGATTTGGCAGTTTTGGACACTTCATGATGCCTTCAGCAGAAAAATCTATTATGTTCCACCAAGAGCTTTCTCTAGGGCTCGAAGTCTCTATGGAGCATGCTTCATTGAACACAAGCGATCAAAAGCTCTGGGTAAAATGATCAGGACCAGAATAATGCTCAAAAATAGCAGGTAAAGCTGCTCACCACAGGCTGAAGGAAATTAAATATCTACTATTCCAAGTGGACACCGTTTCATTGCAATAATTTCATTTTTTGCCTTATAACATCATTTGCTCAAACGTTTTAGATGATTTGTGCAAGGTAGACATCATGTAGTTTAATCCTTTTGTTACCTCCGATAGCTAAATTGGTCTCCAAAAAGGCAGATACAAAAATGACAGAAGGTTTCTACAAAACAAAGTAGCACCACCATAATGTAGAAAATATTAAAATTTTCCTAAGCAAATCCAGCTTCCTTTAAAATACTTCTGGTTATTGTTCATTTTAGTAATTAGTTTTTCAAAAGAAAGTTCTTTCAGCAGGTTGCATGCAAGGTGAACATAAAGGGATGAAAACTGTGACACTGGTGATAATTATTATGTTGGCGAAATGTGCAGCCAATAAATAACTACAGTCATTCATTGGTCCACAGGCATGACCTACTCCACCCCCAATTCTGTCACAGTGACTGGGTTGAAAGCCGCCCTGCAGCTTTGCAATTCCATAAGGATTGTGGCATTGGACTACTGGTTAGTGGAATACTGTCTTAACTTGTTTTTATTTGTTAAGTCTGTAATCTACAAAACAGCACTTCAATGCTTTTGATACCAGGGGAGCATTACACAGCATTGAATAAATCATCTAGCTCAGGCAGGATGATATTGGGGTGTATTTTGCAGTACTATTTAATAGATTTTTTAATAAGAACTTCTCAAATTTCTAAACTGCATTCTTCAGCACATTAAATGTTTCAAAATGATCAAATTTCAAAATCAGATGCTTTCTTCTGCACATTCAGTTTTGGTAGAAATTCAAATTTACACAAATCTCATTGAGACATCTATTAATTAACAGCACAAATTGGACCTCAATGTCATTCTGCTTTAGTTATTCAGAATTTTCAATGTTATTTGGATTACATAGGTAATGTGAATTCTACATGAACGGTTGTCGTGCCCCTCATCAGCAAAGCTAGAGTGGACTAAGTGAAGAAAGCTTGTAAAGTTACCTGTTCATCATTCCTGTGATAATCATTTTCTTCTTCTGGTTTTTCATCTGTTTTCTGTTTATTTGCATCATCTTCATTATTTGTTTCACCTTAGAGAAATAAAGAAATAAGGTCTAAACCAACTTAATATAAGGAAATATATATGATTTTCAGGGCTTCAGAGAGATGGCTTGTGCAGTAATTCAACAATAATAAAAGTTCAATATGTATACAAAATGGTATTGTATTCATTACACTCATTCAATCAAATTAAATTGAATGGTCCTTGAATGCAACGCTGTTCTCGGGTGTCACATCTGTGAAGCCTGTTCCCAAATCAACATTCATCTGGTTAGTGGGTATCTGTGACTCTAGTTTTCTGTTTAGTAAAATTCACTACCCGACTATGCTGCTAACTGAGAGTTAAGTGCCATGATCTGAAAGTCCAATGTTACAGACACAACTTCAGAGATACTGTCATTAAGAATGGCATGGGAAAGAGGAAAAAACATGCAATCTGCAGAATTTCTTACTTTAGCCATTAGCTTTATTTTATTTATTTTATTTTACAGCCTGCCTAAACAGGAAGCATATCTTATAATCATTTCTTATATGCAGCACCAGATATATACAATTATTATGGAAGCAAAAAAAAGTAATTTAATCCTTACGGATTTAAAATATAATTTGGTTGGAAGGAAATGAAAGTCAAAAAGCTAATCATGCCTTTCATATCTATTTTCAGATGCACTTGTTATACTTCATGAACAAATATTGAACCACTGGAGCATACAAAACAAGATATAACTAATTATCATCACTATGCATGGGCCAAATGATTCAGCACTACTTGACCAGAGGTTTAAATCACAGCTCAGAAAATTAAGTTAAAGCCATGGGACGGTGACTTTTTGAAATGATTTTCATAGTCTTTTTTTGTAGATTCAAACTCAACTGCCCAATGGTTATAATCCCTTAAGAGAACTCCATGGTAGCTAGCAATTTTTTTATCTTTTCCAATTCAATCAAATAAAGCAGAACAATTATTATTTGTGTGTTTTATGATGTGGTATTTTTGTCACAAAAGTTTAAATTCCAATATGGTATTCAGTGTTTTTGCCAACAATTAACTCATTACCAATATTGTTCGTATTATTTTTGTGCTTTAAACTCATATAGGATGAAACATAAGACGATCGCACCTTGGTTATCATATTGACTCACAGAATAACTGTTATATATTGTGCATGAAAGTACTGTATAATAATAATCCTTGCATTTGATATAGCGCTTTTCACGTCGGGAGGACGTCCCAAAGCGCTTCACAGAACACACTGTAAAGTGAATTGACTGTATATTTGTGGGCAAACGCGGCAGCCAATTGCGCACAGCAATGTCCCACAAACAGTCGTAGATTGAAAATGACCAATTTATTATTGTTTTTGGTTTTGGAGGGATTATTATTAGGTGTGTGGAGTAAGGAAACTTGCCCAAGGTTTCGCCCTGCCTGGAATTGAACTCAGGTCTCTCACTTGCAAAGTGAGTGCTCTAACCACTGAGCTACAGGACTCCAACCCCAGGGACCACACAAAAACAATGAAACATTTTCTATAATTGGCCAACATTGTAGTTTTACAATTATGTTGCAGCAGTCCTTTATGTTTCTAGCTAACTTTGTAGAAAATTTGTAAGATAACTGCTATACATAGTGGTTCTTAATAATTTTCAACTTTGCCTTTACTGGTGAGAGCTTCCTTGGTTTAAGAATCAGTATCAAGTTTCCTCATTACGATTCTAATTCTAAGAATTGTTTAATAAATAAATTTCATTCATCCCATCTCACTCTCTATTGTGCATGTATTTTATTATTTTCACTGCCTATTTAATTTCCACAAAAATTTCAGTGCAAAAGAAAAGAAAATGTTGATGCTGTGAAATATAGTTTTGGTTGTAGCTGGTTCAACTAATGAACCAATTAAATTTTGATAGGTAAACACGCAGGTATGTTAATCAAATATAGACTGAAGCTTAAAAACAGGATAATACAGGATAAGCAAAGAATAAAAGTTTACCAGGCCTAAAAGAGAAAATAGCAGTTGGCAGAAATAGTCTAACAGAAAATGAACTAACCGTCATGTAGTGGATCTAACTGTTGTTTAGCTGTGCAGGTCTCACCTTTGACCTCTCCAGGCATTTCAAGGCCAAGTTTCTGATAAAAGTCTTTTTGTTTTGTTAACTCCGCTGTAAACAACAAATAATTTGTAGTTGAACAAGCGTAGATGTTAATATTTCAATCAATGTTTTATTCTTAGAAACTCTTAGATGATCTGTCTCTCCAAATAGCTTATTCAGACATAGTTTCATGCATTTTGCTGCATCTATTCCAATACATAATTACAGAAACACATTTTATGATAATAATAATTCTTGCATTTGATTCAGCCCCTTATCACGTCTTTGAGTCGTCTCAAAGCGCTTCACAGAATATGCTGTAAAGTGAATTGAATGTATATTTTGTGGGCAAAACGTGGCAGCCAATTGCGCACAGCAGTGTCCCACAAATAGTCATGAATTAAGTGACCAATTTTTTTTAAGAAAAGGGATTATTACCCTCGGAAAAGCTATCTGCCAATCAACTAACAACCAGATTCCTACTTACTGCTGGGAATCAAATTCAGGTCCTCTCGCTTGCGAGGCGAGTGCTCTAACCCTGAGCTACAGGACTCCATTATACCAGGAATACAAAAATGTAACAAATGTGGCAACTGTGATGGTTATTCAACACTCAGTAGGTTTAAGTTACAAATCTATAATACTCGTAATGGAGATACAAGTTGGATTGAGTAACTAACACTTCAATTACACAGGTTGAACTGTCGAAGGATAGAACCACTCCAATTCCCTCCAAAACTGAATATTGTGGAGGATGCATAGCAGCACTGGGAAATACGTTTTCTGACTTTGCTTACATTATTTTATCACCAGTTTAACCACAGTGAAAAGACTTTTTGGATGCCAAATTCCTAAGAAATCTAAAATATCCTATGTACTGCCTAATACATCTAACTGCAGAGACATAAAACAACTAATTGCATGAATCTACTGGCTACAACAGGGAGGGGGGAATCCTGTTGGGATCACACTAAGAGAATTGAAGAATTGGGCATGTTGGTTTCTTGGATTATATGTCAACTGCAGGTGTTATATTGGAAGTTGATCTAAACCACTCAGCTAACAACTTGGCAGATCCTGCAGGGTGCCAGCAGCTGAATCAGAATTCAATTTATCTACTTTGGTTTACGTTGATGTAAAAATCCCAGTTAGGTTAAAGAAAAGAGTGGAATGCCACCCAAAGAATCTCACCCCATTGGTCATGAATATCATGATAGATTTTGATGTCAAATATGTGCTCACTTGCCCTACAAATACCATTGTGTAGAATCTGAATCTGTAGTGGCTGTAGTTTGTCCAAAAAGCCGTCTCCGGTGGTTAAACTGGTCATAAAATAATGTTCGGACAGTTCCAATCAAACACTTTTGAGCTGACACAATCCTCAATAATTCAATGCAGATGATGACTAGCCCAATACACAGTGACTGCAGAAAATATGAAAACCTTGAGTTAGTAGTCAACGTGCTCATGGGAACATGCATCAAGTACTTAGCCAGATTATCATGGTGCTCCTGCTCTATCTGGTACTCGCGAGCATCAATCTACTCACACACACACATAAAAATAACAGGGATCATATATGTGCTGAAAGTTTCAGAGGAAACTGGTATACCCGGCTATGTGTGTGTGTGGCCATGCAACAGTCAAGTAGTATATTGCTCATGATAGGTTAGCATAACCAGGGCAAATATAAATAGTGCTTGATATCATGCCAGAGAATACCTCTGATCTGCACTACCTGCCTGCAAAGCACAAGAGTCTCTGGTGATTCTCTTATTTGACTGTATATCATTCAAATGTAATACTGTCATCATTGCAGAACCACACTGCAGCCTGTTGAGAGAGTTCATCAACTAAATCTGGTTACTCTCAAAAACATACAAAACATTTTAAATACACATTTCTACTATTTCTCGTTTTCATTTTCAATATTAAAATAAGTCAGTACAATCCATCCCATCCAGTGGTAGGGGAGTAGGGTTACACAGAGCTGCAGAATTTTCTTCTCTATAATTGTTTAATTCTGCATGTTTAATGAGAATGCAAATTGATCATAAAATAACATTTAAAATCATGGACATGTAATCAAATCATTGCATTCAAAATACTTGATGTATAAAGTGGCAACTTCTGGAATGTTTTACAGTTGGAAGCAGTCTGACATCAGGGACAGTTAGTTTCACAAAAAAACACAATGTACGATTTCCCATGGAAATGTATGATTTCTGCCTCGATCTATGGGAATTGTACTGGATGTGTGGAATGGAGTATTTGATACTGATTAGAATTAATTTAGCAATATATATGCAAGAGACTCACAGATATTGAAGACTAGGGTACAAATCTCTGTGGACTTTGAGCCAGGGTTTGAGGCTTATGTCTAATTGAACCATTTAGCATTTGTCTGCCAGGTTTTACATTTTACTTGCAAATGCCAAGTTCGGGCACCTAAACAAAAACACTGCAATGCAAATTTAAAACAGAGACATACCGCATGCTGAGCCGAGCTTGTAATACCATGCAAACAGTATAAGAGCCAGTCCAGTTGAATATTAAAAAGATCATCTCTGATTCGCCAATTAAATTTCATCTTAAACATAATTTCATGTTTTCAATCATGAATGATACTCGTTATGAATGATCTTGGCATTTACAGAGATTGGATGATCTTATGGTGGTGCCACTGCAACAGCTACATTAATTGTCATGTAAAACACTGTAAGTACCTCATACAGTGCCTTACTTTGAAATTATACAAAGTAACAGGAACAGAAACAGAAACAAACTTTGATCAGACAAAAACTACACGAGGCAGCTGCTTTTCAGAGCGCAAGCAACTTCAAACATGTCTATTCGGCAGGTCTATGCCACAGTGCTGCCAGTTCAGAATTGCTTGTGGTTCTCCAATACATATTACCTGGAGTGCCTGATAAGGTGATATGCGTGAAGTGAGCTATATAAATGCAAGTTGTTGTTGATCCCAATATTATACCCCTCGCTATAGTGCAGCTCTCCTGTGGTCTGTGTTTACTGAAGTAAGCTACACGTCCAGCACGATCCCGTGCCACACGGGCACCTAGAGCCAGTACGTCAGCTGCAGCTGCTTTCATGAGCTTCACTGCACCGAGAGACACTTCTACGAGGGAGACTTCACGGCTGAGGTATTTTCATGGCTGACCAGCTGGTATTATGTGCAGGAAACCAGCCAGTTCACATCAAAAACTGGAGGCTCAACAGAGGCAGGACTGGTACCATTTTATTCTCAGATTCATTATACCTGTCTATTGTTTTGGGATCCGAACTAGTGTTATAATGGGGTTGTCTTGTTTTCCTTAGTATTTTTGTTTAATTGATATGAAGAAAGAAAAATCAATGAACATGATAATCTACAGAACTGGAAAACAAAGATTCATTGCAACCCATGTGGTTGGTCCCACTGTGCCAGGCTGACACTATAACAGATTTCTTTCTACCTTTCCCAGTCTTGTTATTTTTCATTAATATCTACTTTTTTTTATTCGACTCACAACTCTTCCCTCCGTATTTAAATTCTGCTCACCTTCTCCTCTCTACTCTGCCAATTACATTAAGGTTATTTGATTTCTGCATGTCCTTATTCCTTTCTCCCACTCCCCCTATCTGATGCTTTCTGGGATTCTTACACTCTTGATTTAAGTATTTCCCCTATTTTTGGTCTATAACGATATAATAATAATTTATTAAACCTTTCATTTGATATAGCATCTTATCACGTCAAGATGTGTCAAAGCACTTCACAAGATAAAGTGCAAAGTGGATTGACTTATTTGTTGTGAGCGAAATGTGGCAGCCAGTTTGTACACAGTAATGTCCCACAAACAGCTATGGAGTGAGTGACCAATTTTATTTGGGGGTTTATTGACCAAGACACGGTGAGAAACTCCATTCTTTTCTCAAATAGTACCTTAGGATCTTTAACGCCCACCTGAACAGGCCGATGGGACCTTGATTTAACATCTCATCTGAAGGGTGATTTCAACTTTTGTTGTCTCTTCCTGGTAATCAGCAGGCCTGAGCTCTCTTTTATTTACCACAATGATCCCCCTCCCCCTCCAAATCTAGTTTGAATTAAACACAATTGCTGCTTTTATAATTTGTGCCACCAGTTTAGCTCTTCATTTAGTTAGATGCACACCATCCTTCCTATAGGCATTTCATTCAGTGAAAATTTTTGCCAGTTATCCACAAACTTGATCAATATATAGATTGTTCTCGGGGATTATAGAAGTGTAAAAGATAGTGAATATTAATGAAGTTCAAACATATTTACAATTAAAACATGACCATTGATATTGTTGGAATCTGCACTGACTAGCTGTAATAGGCTGACTGCTTGACTGGAAAAATTATATGAAAATTGAATGCACTTATACACAGAAAAAAAGCTACTTGTTTAAATGAGATAATAAATATGTCAAACTCATATTGCTTTGAGTACAACTGAACAAATACATTTCAGAATTTTACATATATTTTGTGGGTCCAAACAAATACACTTTACTGTAATTAAACTATAAACTACAAGATCAAATTATTGGAAACTGCTACCCACCTTCTTGGAGACCAGGCACAAGTTTGTAGACGATATCTTGCATTGTTCGGTCATGTCTGGCAAAAAACACGGTAAAGTAAACTTATATAAACGCTGTAACCTAATAAATCTAAGGTTCTATACAATGGTTGATTTATTCCCCAAATTCAGCAGAGAAAGATCCAAACAATTTTTTAAATGAACATTTCGAAATCTTTATTATAGACAGAACTAAATTTAATAGCATCCCATATTTTCATGACAATGTCAGTAAAAGTCATATCAGGCAGGCCACCATGATTGCTGAGCTGCTCTGCCACACTGTGGTCATTCTTCAACAACAATATTCAATAACATTAGAGTGAATATGACAAAAATGCAAGGATTATATAAGATACTCAATTTATTTCAATCTTTACTTTGGAATGTTAAATTACCCACCTTTGGTGTGGGCTTCACAGTGCTCTCTGTATGGCAGTCCTGCATCCATAGATAGGTTGTGGACTGGTGTAGTAATTGTATTATTTCACTATGATGGTAGCTGGTTCCCGGCTAAAGTTAGAACTTGGCAAAGTCAGCATTCGAGTGAATGTGTATAAAGCTCATTGAGTCAGGCTGGAAACAAGCAATTTTCAACCAACATTTCTGTTTGCTTCCTCACCTATTCATGTGTTTTAAACTCTTTACAAGAAAAATCTATTCAAGGAACTACTGTATATCACTTAAGTGCAGAAAACTGGGACTAGAAGGCATCAATTTAAGATAATTAGCAAACAAGCAAATGGGGAGGTTAGAAGAAATTTTTTCACACAAGAAGAAGTTAGGATATGGAATGGCTTGCCAGAAGTGGTGGTTGAGGCACAATCCATGTTAACTTTCAAAAGGGAACTAGATAATTACCCTAAAAGGAGTAAACTATAGGGACATGGAAAAAGGGCAGGTAAATGGAATAGAGAGGGTAGCTGTTAAAAGAGCCTTGACCCAAATTACCTTTTTCTGAACTGTGATTTTCTACAGAGTCAATGGGCGGTTGTGCAAACAAGAATCCTTTAGATGACCTAAATAGAGTGATATTGCAACAGTGTGGGCCTGTCATCTGTGGTAATGAAAACACCAAGAAACCACCAGGTCTATTAGATGCAGCATTGCAATCTTTCTCAGCCCTACCTGTAGAAGAACTATCCTGTTATGCATCAGGTCACTGGATTCATCTGTCCAATATCTCCTACTGATGCCTGAGAAACTTCATCAAATGAAAGTTCTTGTCTAATTATTCATACTATCCTTCTAACTTCTTTGAGAAGAGGGAGAGAAATCCATTCTTCACCTTTCAACAAAATACCAACTGCCTCAGTCTTCAACACGCTTTGTGTTAAGTGATACTAAGTAGCTATGATGGCAACAGATATCTGCTCAAGCTTCAAGGATGGACACACATTTATATGAAATAGACCAAACCTTAGAACAAACACCCAATGCCTCAAGCCTATATTAAAGAAGTAAATATGAAAAAAATGCTCCTCAACTATCATCTTATTTTTCATTTCTTGGAAGATTGCTGATGTCTGGCTAGTGTTGTGTTTGGGCTACAACTGACGTAAAAACTGATCTGGATCAAACTTTGTTTGGAATAGAGGTCACTGCCTTGAATGGCACTGCAGGATGCGTCAATGGGGATGATCCTATTGGATGTGGGCAAGCTGGACAGCACAAAAGATTTACTCAGCTGGTATCTAAAGGTTGGGCTGATTTGTTATGGATGCTATGGAATTTTCTGTAGGACACTTGGCCATCCGGAAGCCCCCACTCTTCCCACCCAACAATATCTATCCAGCTGTGACAATGAATATCGAATTTGTTCCTTTGAAGTTGTGATATATCTGCAAAGGAATACTCTTATGAAAAATCCTGCTAATTTTCCTCTAACCAAGAGATGGATCCGATGTCTCTTTGCATTGCACTGAGATAAATCATGGTTAACTTAAAAGTCAGAAATTGATAGGAAACTTCTATGTTCCAGCCCAGCTAGGTTTTATATTGGATGCAAGACCAGCTTGCCTTGTTGTTTTTGACCCTAAACAGCCAAAGTAGATGGTGGGAGCAGGAGGAAAATCTGGGACTTTGGTTTCATGTCCTATCACTGTGTTCGACGCATGTGAAGAACTTTGAGGTATTTCAAAATGTTAGGCATTATCTCAAATAAATGTATTATTATTATAATAATTATTATTATAGAAGAGACAATAGAATGAAAACATGTCTGGGTCTGCTCTGGGTTAAGGCAGCAGGCAAGAATTGTTTTTTTTAACACTGTGGATGTGGTACATAATATACTTTAGTAAAGCGGCACTAGGTTCCAAATACATTTTTTTAAAAGAGATTTGGAAAATAATGCGTAGTGAAACACTTCTGATGGAATTAGATTAAATGTTTGAGCTAAATAAGAATTAAATGGGCACAGAAGAGGAGAGAGATGTTGAATGGAACATCAGTAGGCAAATATTCTCCATTTAATGTTCCTGTTTTCTACTAACTCGTCGAGGTTTATAGCAACCTCTGCTACCAAAGAACTGGCAATAAAACTAGAAGGCTGAATATGGACAAAGGATATGGCCTGATACAGGACAACCCTATTAGACTGCTGCTGGTTCAGCATGCTTCCCTAGCTGAAACAAAACAACTTCCTGGTTGTCAGGTCACTGGTGATGTCACTTCCCGTGTGTTGTGCTCTATATGGAAGAAACATCACTGATTTCTCTTACAACATGTTGCACGTGTGCAGAAAACGCCTTTAACATCACTCGCTGCACATTACACAGGAAGCGTTACTGTCATCAGTTTGCAAAGGAAGTGACACCAGTGGTGCTTTTTGCAAATAGTCCCAGTTTCTTCAACTGATCTAGTCCTGCAGTATCCTGAAATCAATGTCACAACTAAAATTTGCCCAGATCAATAATTATAAACTACATAATGTTCCAAGTGCATTTTACTCAGCTTTAAACAATAACAAATTTGAGTAAGACTTGTTTTGCTGCACAATCCAGGAGGTTTATGTGAAAACAGCTCATGTTTGAATTTTATCTTTACTCCTGGAAAATATCAAAACTATTGAAGATTTGTTTTTAATAAATAAACACAGGCGGCAGAACAGTTTTCTCAGGTGTTCTGCTGTCTGTGTTTATTTATTAAAAATAAATCTTCAATAGTTTGGGTTCAGGTGTCTCTTGCATATCCAAGAGATTTCAGAATGGAATGACAGTCTCCCTCGCTCTCTTGCATTATTGGTGGTATAACATTATGAGAAGGAATTAATTATCCTACAATTAGCCCTAATCCCACAATGTCCCAGTTGTGTCATGCATTTATATTTTTTGTTCCTCAAGGGTAGACTGAGAGACAGAGAGCAAGAGACGGGTTTTGTCTCTTTTCGTCTACTAACAGAATCTAAATTAAGGATACAATCAAAAAAGGGCTAAAGATTCAGAAATAAATAATAAATTTCAGCTAAACAATGATGGGTTCAAACCCCGCATTGGGACTTTAGTTCATATTCTAGGCTGACACTCCAGCACAGTATTGGTGGAGGGCTACATTGTTGGATGTGCTGCCCTTTGGATGAGATATTAAACCATAGCATGGCTGCCTCTTCAGATTTAAGTTAAAGATCCCATGACATTATTTTGAAAACAAAAGGCAGTTTCTCCCGGTATGCTACCCATCATTCTTCCTGATAAACTGGTCACTCATTCTATGGCTGCTTGTGGAACTTTGATGGCAGAAATAGTGGTAATGTATGCCTACAAAAAGAGTTTTTACTTTTGACAGTAAATTCCTGTGAAAAACTTTTGAGATGTTTCAACGCAAGTCCCATGTAAAAATGTAATGTTTATGCCATGGTGTTTCAAATCAGTGACAACTACAGAACATATATGCCTTTAATACCGTGAGTGCAACAATATAGTTTTGGAAAAAATGCAAATTTGACTGCCGTGTTCACCTACAAATGGACTTTACACTAAATCCTGTGAAGCACTTTTGGGATGTCCTCCTGTTGTGAAAGGCACTATACCAAAATTAATGATTATTATTATCATTATTATTAAATTACAGTACATGTCCATTTATGACATGGTTGAAGGTAAAGTTGTGGGTTCAAGCTTATCCAAAATAAAAGTGAGTTGTACATAACGTGTCATTTGTACATGGAAAATAAATTAATCAGTTATTATTCCTATGGGAGAGAAGAAAATTATAGGAGAGTATTTTCAGTTGAAATTCCCAAACTCTCCAATTTTTTAAAAATGTAGGTCATTTTGACGTCACAGCACCCCTCTCCATCAGTAACAACATTCTCCAAGTTCAGATCGAGATCCAGCCCCCAGTCCTGGCTAAATCATGGAGTCGGATCAGGATTTGATCATTCGGAGGAAGTAGACACGAAATAGCAGAATTCCAAAAGGTTGAATAGCTAAAGTTATCTCCATCAAAATAGGCCCACTTTTTTTAAATAGTCATGTAATGACTTCTTCATGCTGAATGCACTACTTCCTAGGCTTTCCTTCTTCACTATCAGTGACCTGTCATCAGAGATTATCAACACAGAAGTTTACTGTATGTAGTAGAATTTTAAAAAAACTTTCAGATTACCAATTGTGAATATTTGACAAACAAATTTACAATCTCCATTTGCTGACATATTGGTTTGAATTTCTTGAAAACAATTTAGGGAACAAGGAAAGAAATGATCCATTCACACTACTGTTGAACCTCAGTTTTATAAATTGCAACTTTAGTTAATGTTGCTGATGTAGACACAGACATTAAAAGGTATAGTTTACCACCATTTAAAATTGTCATTCGGGGGCTCTGGTTAATTTTAATTCTGGTTAAATGTTTTTTCCAATTCTCTTTTTACCTCTATCACAAACTACAATATAAACACAGTACAACAATACCGCAGTATCCATAAATATGGATAAATGCATAGATGAAAATAGCTTACCACAAAAAAATTCTGAATGCAAAAGTTCTGTAAATATGCTTGATACTTTATTGCAGCTGCAAACTCTATATTAAACTTTTCCCTTGTTTTGTACAAATAGGACATTCCTCTTCCATTGTTGTACTCACCCTATATATTGCAGTGGGTGACTCTGGTGAATGACAATCCTGCAGGTGGGACAGGTGTTGTTCTCTTCCAGATATTTTACCAGGCAGCTCCTACAGACTAAAGGACAAACCATCAACAGCTTGTTCTTAACATTCAGCAATCTTCCAACATTCATCACTGAAGCCTGCAATTTTTGGTTCCTAAACAATCATGAAAGAATTTTTAAAATCCATATATTACAATCAAAATCTCAATATTTGCTAAATATGGTGCATTATTACACATTTATTCTTTTAAAATTTCTAAACGAGCACAATGATCAAGCAAACTGTCAGTAGCAGCCAACATTGTGAAAACATATTTCTTAATAAGTAGCACTGCTGCTTTAAAACAAAATTCAAATAAGTACTGATTTAAAGTGGATCTAATTCAAACAGTACATCAGGATAAGAGCACTCAATTTTTATGGGGTATCATGCTTCTGAAAATAAACCATAAAAGCATTTCAAGAATAACTTGCACAAAAGTCCTCAAATGATTCCCTGGAATCAAAAAAATCTGCTTTTATCCAAATAAGATTTTATATAGGTCAACCCAATTAAAGTAAGTTGTTCTAAGTTAAGAGTTGATCATTTTTTTAAAAACAATTTTTGGTTGAGATCAGTAACCTTGATTTCTGCATTGGTATTGGACATGCCTTATAAGCGACAATCATATTCCTTATCCTAAAGGTCTAAGGGTACATACATTTATTTTGAAGGAAAGAGGTCTGTAAATACACGCCCCTATTCCACCTCCCATCCAACACTCAAACTATTCTTGCCTTGTGTTATTAGATACCACCCCACCCTCTCCCACCCCTCCACAGGAGGAAAAATACTCAGAGAACACCAAAGGCAATTCAGGAGAAAAGTCACCCTGGTGCAGTTCTCCACAATTCCCAAAAGTTGTGTGAGTTCCAAGAGAGGACTGATCCCCTAGCAACATAAGAACCTATCCAATTGGAGAGTGTTCATTATGAAAGTGCCGTCCTTCCAGAAAGATGTTCAGGTGGATATTGAAGGCAGTATTCATAGACTAGATGCATAATCCTCCAGAAAATTCTGGATGTTTTTTCCCACCAAACCCGGGGATTAGAAGGAAAAGTCTCAGGGCCTGACAGAGCATGATTGGGATCTTATGTAAGTTACAATGGTGAGCCCACCTTATAATCAAAATGTCTGGGTCGAGAGTACAGGAATACTTCCTCTGAGGAAACAGTACTTAGTGAGTCAATGCCTACACCGTGGTGGGTGGGGGCAGGAGTTAAGATGAGCCAGATAAAGCTGTTTACTAAAATGGCTAGGTTGGCCTATAACAAGCAGCATTAAGCCCAGGCTTGGACGACAGCAACTGCAAGGCATTACTGGAGTCTGAGTTCATGAACGCACGTTCATACATCCAGGGCCTGGAATCCACCTTGATTGGTTTGCATCTGCTCAAGCTCTGCACCTTCAACTGGTGGAACCATCACTCAATGGGAAGGGATGTGTGTCTGAGCTACAGGCAGGAAGATGGTGACAACGCTCTCACGCATTTCAAGCTGAGCTGTTTTGTCCACCAGGAAGCTCATAGGGAGTTCCTAGTACCTGCCATCAAACTTGTGCTTGTCGGATGTCAATTGACCAACTAGTGCCTATCCTCCTTGGGGAAGGGGGAGAAGTAAGCTTGGTCCCCTTGAAGCTGAATTGGCTTCAAGCTGACATGCTTGGCAGTGGAATTTCAGATTTGAGCCCATTCTTGGTGGTAGCCTTGGGTGTCAGTTCGTGAGCCAGGTGGGTCCGCAATATTCCAGGGCACTGCTGATGACAGCCCAGTCATTGGCAGAGAGAAGGGCTAATATAGTATGATAACAAGGTGACAGTATTACTCCTGATCGATCATTTTAATTACCATTGTAGACAATATGTATTTTATGTGATGTGCAATTCTTCATACTGGATGCTTATCCACACTGTTGCCAGGCTTTCTACTATACTGTCAATTTTTAAGTGGCAATATTTCAAATACAAATGTTAAACATTCCTCTCCCACCACTCCCTCCATGGGTTCCTCAAATCAAGCTTCCAAACACCCACAGCACTAAGACTACCTTAGTCAGCAGTGGTACCATCTCTGGCACCAGACTCTGTAAGCCCATCACTCTTTTCCTCACTCGGCTACGTTGGCTCCAAATCCCCCGGGAGATGAGATTCAAGATTCATGTTCTCATTTTTAAATACCTTGATGGGTTGGTCCCGTCCAAAACTCTCCCGCCTCTCAGCAAATCAACCAGCTTCAGAGCCCTCGTCCGCTGTTCCCCATCATTAGTTGGGGAGCCTTCAGCCACCATGCTTCTGCTCTGCTTAACCCAGAGTTCCTTCACCTTGCCACCTCCCTTTCCCCGCTTTTAAAACCACCTTAAGACCTCTCTCTTCAACACTAACTGCACTCCCCCACTCAGCTCGATCAGTTATGTGAAGCACTTTGAGGTGTCATCATATAAATACATATACATACATATAAATTATTGTTGCTGCACAACAAAGCAACTTGATTTTCTAGCCTCCAAACATTCTATAAAACTATCTCAACTTTCTCTTGTCTAGGAATTGCAAAAACAACTAGAATTAGTTCCCTCCCTAAGGTCAAGAGGGAAGAGACTCGGATGTCGCAGCAAATTGAATAAAGGTACTTTGCAAGTCACAAGAGCTGATTTTGTCTCGGGTGTCTGAGATGTCAAGCTTAAATTAAAACCTGCTACCTAACCAGGTAACAAAAGCAAAGATGATGTAAGATCTAACAGAAGAACAAAATATGTAAGCACTCGGATAATTTATCTTGCACAATATCTCGAGATGTGTCTCACAGCAAACAAACAAGTCTGAAAATATGTACTGCAGTGGCCCTCAAAACAACTCAAAGTAGACATGCCACAACTGACAATGTTCAACTACACACCAAACACAGTTGGATTCAGTACAGTTTTCTAAATTAAAGAATACTCGACCTATTGCATAACTGAAAATAACTTGTAAAATGCACAAAATATTTTTTCCCCAATTACCTATTTATAGTATGTGTGGGACATGTCATCTGCCTCACAGATCAAGAACGTCATCTCTACAGCCTACCCGAGACATGCCCTGTTCAATACAGTTCAGCATATTGAACTGTATCCTCATGTGATGGGAAGCCAGTGAAGCCGGATGAGGATGGGGGTGATAGGGTTGCGTACCCTGGTGTGGGAGAGGACACGGGCTGCAGGGTTCTGGATGGTCTGCAGCCTATGGAGGGAGGAGTTGGGGAGGCCGACAAGCAGGGAGTTTGCGTAGTCAAGTCTGAATGTTATGAATGCGTGTATGAGGATCTTGTATGAGGGTCTCGGCAGCGTGTGGTGTGATACAGTGGCGGAGCCAAGCAATGTTGTGGACGTGGGGATAGGCGGAGCGGTTCATCGCATGGATGTGGAGTATTAAGGTCAGTTGAGGGTCAAACAGGACACCGAGGATCCGTATTAGTTCCGTGAGATGTAGAGCTCATCCATGGAGGGAAATGCCCAATGCATGGAGGCGCTGACGGGAGTTAAGTGGGAGGGCCTCGGTCTTGTTGACATTCAACAGCAGGAAGGTTGCTCTCATCCAGGACTTGATGTTTCACAGGCAGTCTGTGAGGACAGCAGTGGTCCTGGAGTCGAGGGTGGAGGCAGAGAGATAGAGTTGGGTGCCATCCACATACATATAGCAGTTGACCCCATGTCTGCGGATGATGTCATCAAGCGGAAGCATATAAATGTTGAAAAGGAGAGGGCCAAGGAAAGAGTCCTGAGGGATGCCACATGCAACAGTGCGAGAGCTGGCGGAAAAGCTATTAGTGGCGACAAAGTGGAGAAGGTGCAAGAGGTACGATTTGAATAAGGCAACAGCAAGTCTGCGAAGATTGAGATGAGAGGAGAGGAAGTGTATGAGGATGGAATGGTCGACAGTGTTGAAGGCAACAGAGAGGTCTAGGAGGACAAGGAGGCAGAGAGAGCCCTGATTGCAGATGTTCAGAGTGTGGTTAGTGACTTGACCAGGGATGTTTCCGTGCTGTGGGCAGCGCGAAAACCCCGATTGGAGGGGTTTGAAGAGGGAATGGCAGGAGAGGAAAGAGCAAAGCTTGGACGCGACGACTCGTTCCAGGACCTTGGAGAGGAATGGGAGGTTGAAGAGAGGGCGATAACTGGAGAGAAGGGATGGCTCCAGGGAAGTTTTTTGAGGATTGGGGTAATGACAGCTGTTTTTAGGGGAGTGAGAACAGTGGTAGTGGATAAGGAGAGGTTGATAATGTCGGTTAAAAGAGAGGCCAGGAGGTGGATCTGGGAGGTGAGGAGAGGGGTGGGGATGGGGTCGAGGGAGCAGGTGGTAGACTTCATTTTTGAAATGATGGAGGTGAGGGAAGAGGGGGAGAAGGGTCGAAGGTGTATAGCGAGGGATGGGTGGGCCCAGGGCATGAGGGGAATGTGCCGAGGGGATAGCGGTGGATGGGGGAGAGGTAACAAAATAAATCCCCTCGATTTTGTATTCGAGCAAGTCCAACATCTCCTCGGAGTTGGAATTGAAGGAGAGGATGGGCAAGGTGGACGGAAGAGGCGGTTAGTGGAGGAGAAGAGGAGCCTGGGATTATCTTGGGAGTAAAAAGATGATTTGGCCGAGGTGAGAGCGGAGTGGTGAGTCCTAGTGTGGTTAAGCCAGATCTGTCAATGGACCGTTGGGTTTGATTTGGTTCAGGTACGTTTAGCGGCGCGTACTTGTGCCTTGAGGGATTGGAGATGGCTGGTGTACCAAGGGGATTTACAGCGATATGAGGCGATTCGGGAGGTGAGGGAAGCAAGGGAATCAAGGATGGAGGAGAGGGAGTTGTGGAGAAGAGAGATTAAGTAGGGTAGGTCATTGTGAGAGGAGGGTCAGAGGGGCAGGAGTTCGGATGATTCTAGGTCAGCGGAGAGGGATTGGGGGGAGATATTTTCCAAGGGCGGTAGGTGTCAGAAGTGGATTGAGTAGGGGGAAGAGGGACGGAGATGTTAAGGGAGATGAAGTAGTGGTACAAGATGACTTTAT